CGGTTCAATCCCCCAGCACCACATGCCAGCCAGCCCTGCACCCTGGTGGGGTGAGCTGGCCGCACACACATAAATAAATAAATAAATAAATAAATAACAAATTAATAGGGGGCAGGGGCGATAACTCAGCTTGATATGGGCTTGCCTGGAAGTGGAAGGGCCCAAGTTCAATCCCTGGTTCCGCAAAAAAAAAAAAAAAAAAAAATTACATATAGTGGGTATGGGAGATAACACAGTGTTCTAGGCACCCACCTGGCAAGTACAAGGAGCTGGGTTCTTTCCATGGTGCCACATACTGTGCTGATCGCCCAAGAACCCCAGACACACCATGTCAGCCACTGAAACCGGCATGGTGGTGTGACCCTGTAATTCCAGCACTGGGAAGGGTTGAGACAGGAGAATTCAAGACCCTGTACCAAATAAACATTTACAAAATCTAAAAAATTACAAATCAGGGGCCAGGGAGATGGCTCAGTAGGATAAGCGCTTGACTGGCAAATGCAAGGATCTGAGTTCAATCCCCGGTTCCACCAAAAAAAAAAACCAAATCATTAAATGACATGTAAATTATGACAAAATACTTAAGCAATCTGTATGTATAGCTAAGCATAGCTGCACATGCTTACAAACCCATCACTCCTTCCACCCCAAGAACCGGGGATTGAACTCAGGCCCTTGCACTTGCCAGGCAAGCACTTATTCTAAAAATCTAATCATATCCCTTAAAAGTACTCAGGGAAGAATAGGTTTGGTGTCATTTGGACATAAATCCAGCACTCAAGTGTAAGGCCCCACAAACCCATCACTAGAGACTTCAGTAGGATAGCCAACTGAAGGCAATCCCAGGCTAAGTTCAGGCCAGCCTAACTACAAACTAGCTACAAAGATCTGGGAAAAACAACAGGTCAGTATGCCGGAACACACCTGTCAATCCCAAAACATAGGCAATTAAGGCAGGACAGGAGGGCTGCTGAATTGGAGCCAGCCTCCAACTGCACAGTGAAAACTTGTCTTTAAAAAAAAAAAAAAAAAAAGACCCTTTCATCAGGGTGTATATGGTAGCACAAATCTTATTTCTCTTCTACTTTCAGGCTGTAGTCTTTACCTCCTTTGACATATGTCTCATAGTGATGTGAAATAGTGGTGTTAACCCACATAAATCAGGTTTTAAACAATCTCTT